TTTTTTGCATACTATGTGAATAACTTGATAACTTGTTATAATAAGCTACAAGTAAATAATACTAGTCTTTGCTCTACAGGAAACTATCACTCAACAAAAGCTAGGTTTAAAAACTTTTCTACTTAATGAAAGCATGTTATGGAAAATGAAATTTACTCTATCACAAACGAGTTGAAGAATCAACTTTTACGCATTATCAAGGCTCACGGCTAAAATTTTGCTATAAAAACTATTGCAGTTTTAAAATAAACTAGGCTAACATCGTCACCCCTTATTCTGTAACTATAAAGATCACTAAAAAGATAAGCATGAGACTTTTTGCAGCTCCAAATTAAAATTCACGCGCGGTTTTTGGATGTTATAATTTCGAAATCATCTTTCATAGCCACTTACCAATTCATTAGCATCAAATGTCGCCTGGTATACCGGAACAAGAATATATAGAGCTATCAGATATCGTCGTTGAAAACACGACAAGGTCTCATACTGCACTAAATATAGGGGATGATTGGAACCTCACCACAGATCAGATTCAATTTATACTCTTAAGACTTGGTATTATAACTGATGATAACTATAGACCTGGATCATCCTTCGACATAAGTATAACTCAATCATCGAGGTTTATGATAAATAAAATAGATAAATTGAGCATAGATGAAGCAATTACTATACTTAGAGAGGCATTGGCTGAACATAAGGATGATTTCAATTTCTTGCATGAAGATTATCAACTTATACAGAGGTTGGTCCACCTAATTCCAGAAGATTTTGAAATATCAGGCAAACAAGAGTTTAAAAAAGCGAATGAAGAAGAATTTGAAGAAAAGCCAACGCATTTTAAGAACAAGACGTATTTGAATATCGTAGACTGGAATTTACAAGTGCGACTCGAGGCAGTGTTGATAGCATTCCATTCGCCATACCCTGAAGTAAGAGCTATAACGGACCCATTTGATGATTTAGACATGCCTTCAGAAACAATAAGGGCCTATGTTATCGGGTTTTTCTGGACACTAATAGGTTCAATTATAAATAACTTTTTTGTTCATAGATTGCCATCCATAGCACTAGGGCTGCATACTATACAATTATTACTCTTACCAACTGGTAGATTGTGGGAGAAAATGATGCCTTATGATAAAATGATAAGTATTTTTGGGTTTCAATTTAACTTGAATCCTGGGCCTTGGTCATATAAGGAAATGATGCTAAGCACGATTATATATCTGTGTTCAGCTGGAACACCATATCTGATTTATAACATTTTTGTCATGAAGCTAGATAAGTTTTATGGATTGAAATGGGTTACTTGGGTATACCAGCTTTTATTAGCCCTCTCTACACAATGCTTAGGTTTTGGATTTGCGGGCATAATGAGAAAAGTCTGTATTTACCCAGTAAAATCTATATGGCCAACTATACTACCTACAATTGCTTTAAATAGAGCTTTAATGCATCAAGAAGATGAGAACACCCCCCCAATACATGGATGGAGAATATCAAGGTATTCCTTTTTTTACGTAATATTTGGTTTGAGTTTCATTTACAACTGGATTCCATCTTACTTTTTTACTGCATTATCTACTTTTAATTGGCCTACCTGGATAAATCCATATCTGGTCCATTTGAACAATGTCACTGGATTCAAATCGGGCTTAGGTCTTAATCCTTTGCCTACTTTAGACTGGAATATTCTTGACGCAGCTGGCTGTCTCACATTCCCATTTTACACATATGCAAATCAATATCTTGGATCAATCTTAGGATTCTTTGTAATCTTAATTGTTTATTATACCAACAATAAATGGACTGGATACTTACCAATAAATTCCAATGCTCTATTTAACAACAAGGGTAAAATTTATAACGTTCATAGTATTTTGAATGATAAAAATATGTTTGATGAAGAAAAATATAAAGAATATGGACCACCGTATTTTAGTGCTGCTAATTTGGTTTTGTATGGCGCTTATTTTTGTTTATATCCGTTTGCGATAATCTTCCACGTTATAACTGAATGGGAATCAATGAAAGGAAGTTTTGTAAATGTTTGGCATTCTATTGTTGATTCACTGGCCAGTAAAAGTAATATCTTTGGTAGGTATAGTAAGGATCCACATTGCGTGATGATGTCCAAATATAGAGAGGTTCCAGATTGGTGGTTCTTAGTGATTTTGGGGGTAAGTACCATATTTGCAATATTGTGTGTATCATTATATCCCACAGAAACGCCGATTTGGGGTATTTTCTTCACGATTTTTATCAACTTTATATTTTTGATTCCCATGACAGCTATTGCTTCTGTCACTGGATTTTCCTTTGGCTTAAATGTACTAGTGGAATTAATTGTCGGTTATACAATACCAAACTCCGGAATAGCGTTGATTACATTAAAAAGTTATGGTTATAATATAGATAGTCAAGCTAGTAATTATATTACTGATCAGAAATTGGCACACTATTCAAAGTTACCGCCCAGGGCAATATTCAAAGGGCAGTTAATATCTACGATAATAAGTGTTTCAGTTGCCTTAATAATCGCCAATTGGCAATTAGACAATATTCAAGATATATGTGATTCGCATCAAAAAGAAAGATTTAGTTGCCCTGGTGCTAACACATTCTTCTTTTCAAGCGTTCAATACGGTGAAATCGGCCCCGCAAAGGTTTTCAGTGGTTTATATCCTGTTTTGAAATGGTGTTTCCTATTGGGTGTTTTATTGGTCATTCCATGCTATTGGTTTAAGAATAATGGGCCTGCAAGATTAACAAGATATTTTCATCCTACGATC